TTTCCTTTTTGCAGCTGGGTCATTTTATGCACATCTTGATGTCATTTCTGCTTGATCCCAGAGCTTTGATAGAGAAAAGGACATAACCGGCATCCGCATTCCATCTTTGGAGCTGGTGATTCACTTTCTTTCTCCTTGTAAGGACTAACAATCTTTTAATTCGATGATATGTTAGCCTCTTCCTTGTCCCTTGTTTCGAGATAGACAGAAGATGAGCAAGTTGAGTGTGCCAATCTTTAGCTTACTGACAACTGAAATGAACAGCTCTCCTTGTTATCACTGAAATTCGCCTGAAAATAAGTCAATCAATAGCTCTTCCATCTCTGATCTCACATAGTGCTCTGAAGTGATGTGCATTCCATTGCAATTCGTTTTTTTCAATAAAAGATTCCAGATTGCTCCAAGGAAAATGTGCCCATTACCTTGGGGTGACTTCAAGTACTCTCCGTGATGGGTAGGTGAGTATATGGGGATAATAGTTGACATTTGCAAGTCAATTGCTCATCTTCTTTTGCGTTTTATTTGTTTAACTATCTTAGTGACTCTTCTTTTTGTGGTTGCTTTGGATGCACTTTCACTGTTCTGAGCCTGTTCATTTTGCTACTTGTATTGCAACATTTCTCTATGTTTTTTGTGAGTTTGCAGTGCTCAGACAGTTATATTTTGTTCTTTCAACAAGTTTCTATTACACAGTTAATAGAAACTGATTTATGTGATAGTAGTTTACTGATTGTGTCTTCTATGCTAGTACAGTGTAATTCACCCTCACCAATTTTTGCACAGGCATGTAAGGACTTTCGTGCATGCAAGTGGCCTGATGGACTTATAAATGGAGATAACTCCCTTGCTGCCCATTTTGATGCCATGAATGACAAGAATCAGGATACACTCCAGGAAATGCTGGCAAGATGCAATCAAATAATTTCATTCTCACACTTCGTTCCAAGGTTAGTGAGTACATCAGGCTATTTCAAAATCTCTTTGGGTTGCTAGTCTAAAATTTGGTCGATTATGGTTGAAAAGCCTCAGTCTTGCGCTACAGTAGAGGCTTCTTGTAGGATTTCACGATGTTCTTGAAGGGCGGACCAGAAATGCAGTGGGTCAACTTTATCTGGATGAGGGATTACTTTTTATCAGCTAAAAATGTGATTTCACTGCAGTTGCTTCTTATTGACCATAACTAGCCACCGTAAGCGAGCATAAATTTCGTAAACTATAACAAGATGAGTTGGAACACTTATGTTTAAGTTTTCATAATGTGGGGCTAATTGACATTTTCATTGACTGGAGATGACTTCTTTAGAGTGATTAATTATGCTGAACAGATCTTACTCACTTGTGCTCAAGGGCGGATTTAGGAGGGCGAAAGGGGTTCGCCCGAACCCCCTTCGCCGGAAAATTACACTGTACATATAAGACAAAATCCATTTTGTCTATATATATTATATTTTGAACCCCATTGACACAACCCAAAAGCATAGCTCAATGGTCAAGGGAGTTCAAAACCTTTGTGAGGTTGCTGGTTCAATTCCCATTCCCACAGTCTGTTTTAATTTTTAACTTTTTCTTTCTTTACCCCCTTAGTGATAATCTTACCTCCGCCACTGCTTGTGCTGCCTTCTTTGGTCTGACGATTATTGTTACTGGACGTAGTTCTTTCTCCTCCATGACTTCTTGTATTGAGTTGAAAGAATATATTGATACGTTCATTTTCATTTGGTAGAATGTTTTGAATCTAGTGTATTTTCTCTGTACCATTTTTTGACGAGGGTATTATTTGGATTGCTCAGTTCTTCTGAAAAATCTTTAGGTATAGAATGTAATAATGCCTTCCTCTTTTCTTGTCTTGCTTACTGCTCCTTTCATCAATACATGCATCAAGATAGATGGACTTCTTTTTCCTTTTCTTTGGGCTGTTTTTTTTTTTTG